CCCCCCCGCCCCCACCCTGGCTCTCTGTGATGGGGGTGTTGCCCATGTTACCGGACGTGAACCTTAACTCAACCCCCTCATACCTCCTTTAGCTTGTCCTCATGCGGAGATGGAGCATCATTGGATGGGGGGGGGGCTTTGTTCCTGACTCATCACTTATCCCTCTGATTTCTCGCTGGCTGAGATTCTATGGTCAAAAAAATCCCATCATCAGGTCACTGAAGCGTTTTCGCTACTTCGTAAATGCTTAGCTCGATGCTAAGGGATAGATGCTAAGGGGAGTATATCGGTAAGATCGTCCCGTCCCTCCCTGCACTGTGCGTGCGCTTTATACTTTCAGCAGCCCTGCTGCTTCACTGGACAGGAATTGCTGACCGTGTCCCTCCTTCCTAAGTTGTAAGAGAAACCCAAATCTTAGCCAGAAGTTTCATGTAGCTTCAGGGCTTCGTTTTCAATTAGCTTGGATCATGATGGATGACGGCACTTTAAGAAGACAATGCGATGGGCAGAATTTGTCGCGGGGTTCAAGGACGATGACAAATCGCTCTCTGGCTTTTTCCTGAAAAATGTAGCTGTGTTCCTGGTAACTATTGGTTAAGCGTCTCTGCACACTTCCAATCTAACCAGTTTAACCAAATACCGGATCCTGGGATTGTCAGTAATTAAATCCAGATTACCGGCAGATGGAGATTTCCCTCAGTGCCATAAGTTGAAAGCCCTTGCCTTAAGAACATCCAGTCACATACTGATTTAACCTCCTTACTTGTTTGTGTAGAGCGATACCTGTTGATACACCCCTGCTACTTTTTGGGAAATATGGTCATTAATATTCTATTGGGTCCTCCTAGGGACAGTGATTTGGTCTAATCAGAGACCACCCAAGCTGCTGGGGTTAACAGGCACAGGCATAAATCATATAAATGACTCATTATCATCATCCACATTATTAATTATCATCATTATGGTTATTATGGTTAATAGTAGTAATGATGATCCATCCGTCAACAATAGCAATTTATTATTTTTGCTCCAGGGGTGGCCTGACCCCATGCGCTCACTGTGTGTGTGTGTGTGTGTGTGTGTGTGTGTGTGTGTGTGTGTGTGTGTGTGTTTGTCACAATGCCCCCACAATGTGATTAAAAACCTGTTGTTTTGATGCTGTGGGGACCGTTTTTTCTATCCCCACAAGGGAAATTCCATTTTATAAAAATCTGTGATTGCAATCAGAAAACAAAACAAAAAATAGTCTTATATTTTGTTTGGTTACTTGTGGTTGAGATTAGGGCTGGGTAGGGGTTAAGGTTGTGTGTGTGTGTGTGTGTGTGTGTGTGTGTTTGTCTCAGGAGAGCAAGATGAGACGTGCAAGGATTGAATTTAGCTGTACCTTGTCACCTGTGCAATAACAAAGGCAATCCTATTCTGTTCTATTACTGTGTGATGTCTTCCTCCCTATGACTTGCACGTCGTTCCTTGACCAACCCAAACTGAAGCAGCATACTTATGGCCGTAATGATGATGTCGCAGCATGGACATCTCGCTTCCTGCATGCCGGTTCACACCCTCATTCTCGTCCCACCTGACAATGCCCTGCTAAATCCACGTCTGCCCCCTGACATGTGATGATCCACTTAGACGCGTGATTGTTAAATCTTCCTGGATGGGTTTTTTTGTGTGCAAGTAAAGCCTTGTATAAGAGCAGGGATAGTTATGCTTTATATCCCGAAGGGTGTGGTACCCTTCCTGTTTGAGCGCGCCTACCGTTTTTGTGCCTGAACATGTCGCCGTATGATCAACCCCGTCCCCATTGTTCGGCGCGCTGAACTCAAGATGTCTGGACTATAATGATGCCGTAGTAAAAGACCCGGCCTGCTTTGACGCTGCAGGACCAGGAGGTGAGTAATCTCCTCCTTTATGGCAGCAGGAACAAGACTAGTTCTGAGTGGAGCTTTGGGGATATTTGGTATCAAAGAACATGTTGCCTGGATTTGAAGTCCTCGGTTTTTCCCCCCCTCCCTGTATGTATGTAATACAATATTTCATCCCATTGAGATCTTTCACTTTGACTGCAACTGGCTTTTTGGCAAATTTTCTTGGAGGAAGTTCAAGTGCAGATATTATAATGTGATCTTATTTAGCATATTATGTCCATTCTTTCATGTTTTTTTTTTTTTATATAGAATTGTTTTCTTTGGCTGGTTTTCGCAGCCACGTCCCTCAGGTTTCAAAGCTCCTCCCCCAATATTAGAGCCCCACCCCCCAGACATATGCCCGCTGTTCTAGGGTCATGCCTGGACGTGTCCCTGCGTCAGACGGCGCCCCCGATCCTCCTCAGAATCAATGCTCGCTCTGTTCCCGTTTTTGTGCAGTCCCAGTTTCTCCCTGCTGTGGCAGGCTGCCAGATCACGGGGTAGGGAAGGTGACCCCTGGCATCAGCCAACCAGCGCCCTCGACAGGGCAGGGTCAAGCGGGCAGATCCGAGAGTGGCATGTCGTGGCTGTGGCGATTTGCACGCTTCGTACTACGGTTTTGCTGTTGGGGCTCAGTCCTTCTCGTGACGATTCCTCGTGTTTACTATAGTTGCACACGGACGGTCTCAGCTGGGATCTTGTGAGCCTTTGCTGGGAGAACGGCTATAGGTTTATGGGGTCAATGAGGTCTGGCTCCAGTCCCGACACGTGAAAGATGCTTGCTGATCGCGATGGTGTGAGAGTTTCATGGGAGGGGCACTGCAGTATTTCTGCTACACGCATGTCGTCAGTTCTCTCACACAGTCGTACTCGTGACCAGTTGCTGGATACTTGCCCCCCTCTCAGCATCCTGGTTTCTCCACGGTACAAATTATGGTCTGTGACGCAATAAGCCTCCAAAGATGGCCTCTGATTTCAACTCTTCCCTCTCCCAAAACTAAAATGGCAACAAGGCAGTATATTGTTGTTCCCCAGCAGTGCATGCTCGTGGTCGTCCTGGTACGTGAGCCGGTGTTTGCTGCGTGTCTGTGTGTGTGTGTGTGTGTGTGTGTGTGTGTGTGTGTGTGTGTGTGTGTGTGTGCATGTGTGATCTATCCAGAAATACAGGCTATGATGACAGCTCCTTCTCCTGCTAAAGAACTGTACTATTTCTGTTGCAGACCATCATGGAGCAGTTCAACCCCTGCCTGCGAAACTTCGTTGCCATGGGGAAGAACTACGAGAAGGCCCTCTCCGGTAAGCACACGAATGGCTCACCAGGTTCCTCTGCAGCTCCTGTTCTGCTGTCCCGTCACTAACCCCTGGACGATATCGGGGCGTGGTTCGCAAATAACGAACGAAAGCCAAACTGCGGAACGTAACATGGGCTTTATTTTTAACTTCTGGACGTTCGTTCCCGCTTCGTGCTGATGGTGGTTGGATGCTTCCTGAATATTCAGCCTGCTTTGGCTGTGCAACGGTGGGGAATCCCGGGGGGGAGGGGGGTCCTTCTGGAATGTGATGTGGTTTTCTTTGTGTGGTGTCCCCCCCCCCCCCCAAATTTCATTGCATATCAGAAGGTCTTGAAGGAAGGACTCTGCACCTTTTGCCTTTGTGCCTATATGCCTTCCTCCATTTCATTTGTCTACCTGTAATCAGAAGGTCACGGGTTCAAATCCCAGGGTCAGCAGAGTGATTTCACCATTGGGCCCTTCAGTATGGCCCTTAACCCTTAATTACTGTCTCACTCTGCTTTCCCAATGAAAAAAATGGGTGTTATTTAAAATAGAAGTGTCTGCTAGATAAGTAAAATGCATGCAAATATGTATACTGTACATAAATTCCCCACGTATTTGAGTTTGGGTGGTTGCATGTTCAGAAAATTATCTAAAATGTCTCATTCCAGTTTCTTTATCTACATATATGAGCCTGTTCATTGATCAGCACTCAAAGCTGGGCGGGTAAAGCGTATTGCGCTCACAGGGGTCCAGGCCTTGTCACTCCCATTTACAGACCTATATTTTTCAAAGTAAGTTCAGCTGGGGCTTGTGACTGTGATTTGATTTGTGGCAGCGTGCCTCGTAAGTGGACGATTGAGAGGTAAATTTCATAAGAACTTGAGCATTTGTTCTCAAGCCAGGAAATGTTCTCCTGGAATTTCAGTATCATTGTGCCTGTACATTACTTTAGACAAAAGCTTTTGCGAAATAAATGCAACTAAATTGCAGGCATGGCGGTAATGCTTTCTTTGGTTGTTTTGAATGCATTATCGCGTTGCCGGTGGGAGGGATTTCAGAAAAGCAAAGCTCAGGGTTATTCAAAGATATATATGTTTGCCTTACTGTTCTTTCTGTTATGGGTGATTTGCACCCGTCTGGTTCAGCGGTTCCGATGCGTTTCAGTCAGTTTTCCAATCATCTTGTCAATCATTCACCTTGAAGATCCTCCCGGATGAGCCATTGGTGCAGGTTCTGAGTGTCCGAGGCTGATCCTGGAGGGAGAATGCTTGAGCATTTAGGAGCGAGCATCCAGGGGTGCTGGTCACGTTCTGGGGAAACGACAATATTTCTGGTCCAGAAGCTATCGTCTCTAGACTGTAGCTACCAACCTCTCAGCTCTTCATCTTCCAAGGGACGTGTAATCCTCTTTGTGGTCCGCGTCTGCCCCCCCCCCCCGGCTTCATGCTCCAGGAAGGCAAAGCACTCAGGTTATCTGAGGCTAATCCCTTCTACCCCCCTGCTTGCTCACGTACTCCTCTGACGGGCCTCACCCCTCAGCGGCATCTGGGTCTCTTGAGGTTTACTGGTCCACCTACTTTTGAATTTTGGTCGCCATGGTAAAGTAGCGTAGCACGCTAGCTGTGTTATCCAATGGCGTCGCAGCTCAGGGGGCCCAGAGCATATTTAGCATGTGGGTGTTCTTTTGGCCCCTGCACAAGCACATCCTATAGACATTTTTAGATCTGCCAGATTCTGTTTTGTCAAAGCAAGAACTGAATTTTAATGGTTCTTGAACTCGCTCCATGTGAGGCTGTTTGTATCTTGGCTCTTGCTCAAACAATTCCTCTTAATTACGCATTTAGGACAACAGTTTTTAACATCGGAAAAAAAAAAAAAAAAAGTGCAACTGATATTTAGGTTCGATTAGTGTAAACAGTGCATCTGATTAAATACCAGTTGAGGTGATTTAAGTTGGGAGTTGGTGGAATGGAATGGAAATTGAAAAATACCTGCGGAGATGTTGAAGATGTTGAGTTGAGGGGGTAATAAAGTGAGGCTGAGAAGGGGTTCTCTTAACAGTACATAGTAATCATATAACTTTTACAAGTTGGGTGTGACTTATGTAAGCAGTATATGAGGTGAGGTTCAGGCATTTGTGTGCACAAAGAATCCAAACTCTTGGAGACTGAGTAAACGGTTCAGTCTGACCTCCAACCTCATGCCATCATCAACGTTGACGGCTAGTATGAAGGGACTAGATCCCGAAATTATTTCCCAGCACAGAAAACATTCATATCAAAGATTAATTTTTATTTCAAAATCATAAAAACCAATGGACCATCAAAGGGCATGAAAGAAATATTTGTCGGTCTAGATATGACCAAAAAAAAGCAGAGCAAAACAGCATACTGAACCTCGAGTCTGAGTATATTACACGATGGGTCAAACTGACTGGTATTTAGAACGTTTTCTTGTGCACATGACTATCACCGGCCCCGACACCCAGAGCGGGGTGGTGTTCAGCTTCATATTTTTGTTTAAATTTAAAGGGGAGCTGATCTGCGGTTAAATTGCATTCATTTATTTAGTAGATTTTTGTGTTTTTAATCTAAAGCGACATAAATGAGAGAGCATGACCGGTTACTCTCTAGGGTAATTCGTTTTGAGGGCCTTCCTCAAAGGCCCAGTGGTGACCAACCCCGGGATTTGAACCTGGGGCCTTCCATTTACAAGCACAGCATGCTGACCTTCTGAGCCGTGCACTGCTCCCACACCATGCCTTGACGTGCTTCCTTCATGCCCACAGGTGTGACGTTTGCTGCCAAGGGCTACTTCGACGCTCTCGTGCGGATGGGAGAGCTGGCCAGCGAGAGTCAAGGATCCAAGGATCTCGGTGAGTCTCTTCTCTGACTGTCCCTGCCCGTTGTGCCCCCCCAGTACCACAGTACTGCCCCCCCTGGGGGGGGGGGGGAGGTGAAGAGAAGAATGTGGATGTCACATGTTCAGGTAAACTCACTCATGGGTTAGAGAACACTGTAGCACTAAAGGCTTTTCATTAAAATCATTTTAGATGTTTGTCTACTGCCTTGTCGGTTCAGATGTTTGCCCCACCCTATACCAATTAACTGATTCGGATCATTATTCATTATTTGTTTCAAGAACTAGAGTGACTTGCTTTATCTTGAGTGATGCCAAATCGATCAAAGGAACCGATTTCACCTCTGGCTCTGGAATCTATTCTCAGAATCCTAGTTAGAGGTTTGCCTTGCAGATGTGGGTGTGGATGAAACAGTTTGGGAGCATTTGTATGGCTGGGAGGAAGTTGCCACGGGAACTAAAAGGACAAGAAGTAAAATTTAACAAGTCAGGCAGTCAGCAGAATCAGCCTGTTATTTCCGAAATGCCTTCTGTAAAGAGGAACATCACCCGAAATTCGGGGCAACAAATTGGAACAAATCTCCTTAAAAACAAACCCACAGGAAGATATTTCGGTTCCCATTTCTATTGTAAGTATTTGCAGTATAAAAATAATGGATTACGTAAAATGTTAATCTGATATGCTGGCTCACCGCCATGGCATTTATTCCGTTTTGCGGTAATTTCTGTGTGTGTTTTTTTTTTAAATATGTTACTTTATTGTGATGTCCAGAGAAAATATGGGGCCATTTACCCTTTGCCTGTGGCCGTTCCCCATGAATCCTTGGGGCTGTCAGCAGCGAGAGGGCAGATAACTGGGGAAATGCATCCTGGAGTGTGTGCTGAGCTAGACAAGCAGGAGCGGTAAACAGGAGGGTAAACCCGACAAGCAGGAAGTTGTATTCAGGGTGAGTCATGTGACCTGGAAGTGTCCCACATGCATTCTGGACCAGCAATTCTGGTTTGTCCTAAACCAATCTGCCCTGCTGACTCACAGAGGTGTTTTACAGAGCTGACTTTGGGGGTGGCTGCTGGCATTTAGCGATTGTTTATTCTATTGGTTTGTCTTGTTAAATTGAATTCAGTTTGCATTATTGACAGTTGCCCCCCCCCAAGCTGTGCGACATCAGTTCCTAATGCTGGTAGACCTTGGGGGGCGGGGGGGTGGGGAGGGGTGCTTCCATGATTCCATGTGCTGACCCCCATACTCCCTACCACGGGTTCCTTCTACGCTTGGGCTGTTCTCCCCGTTCACAGGGTCTGCTTATGGTCTGCCAGAGGGATCAGCACTTTTATGTTTATATGTGTCGGTTTGGGGGGGGGAATGCCAGGTCTGCCTGTGTGTGCGTGTGTGGATTATGTTTATATCACATTGTGGGGACCTGTTGTTTTGATGTTGTGGGGACCATTTTTCAGGTTATTTTGTTTGGTTATTTATGGATAAGGTCATTAGGTTGGGATTAGAGTTTTCCCCATAGAAATGAATGGAGAGTCCAAAGATTACAAAAGTGTGTGTGTGTGTGTGTGTGTGTGTGTCCGTGAAGCATCTTAACGTGACACCATCCTGCGTAAGTGTCCCCTGGGCTCCCCCGATAGGGCAGCCTGCCCCATATCGCGTTCATCCGCTCTCCCTCATTGTCGTCTCAGGTGCTGGAGCCTGCGTTTCCACCGGCCCTCTCCTCTGAAGCGTTTAGTGGTAGCGCTCGTTATCGCCACGGAGATGATGATGATGAAGGCACTCCGCCAGAGATGGATAGGGACGATCGCGTGTCTGCCTTCTGCTTTGAGTTTGTTTCCATGGTGATTAGCCGAGGGCATGCTTTCGGGGTTAACTGGACGACGTTCCCATCGGAGAGCAGGAATGTGGGATTCCAGTGTGACTGGAAACATTCTGGAATTGCTGGTACCCTCTGCCCCCCCTTAAGGAAGTTGCCAGGGTCTAGCCAGAAATGCAAGGGACCAATGAGAATAAGGGCAATCAAATTGATTGTGTGGTGTTCATTGGCTGAAAGCTCTGACATGCAGTGTAATTCAGTATATCAGAGGATGCCTCCTAAATCCACACTGGAAAAATACTGGAATAAAGTCCCAGTTCCAGCAGGTTTTGTTTTCTGGCAGGACACGACCCTGGAGTCACTCATCTGGACCTCCCTGACTCACAAAGAGGGTTACTTCCTCCACTGCCCCCCCCAAGCACGCAGGCAGAGACATTTGGGAACACTGGCTGATCAGGCTCACTTGTGATCTTCTGCAGCATCACGGTCAAATTGTTTCCAGTTTGAAATCGGAACTCAGGCCCCTCTCATGTCCGTCAAGGCTGTCCACAGAGACTGCCTGTTCACATTGTCAAGGCACCCTTGTAAAAATTGTACGAGACCTCGATCACATCTTCCGGTTTGTACACAATCTCTCAAGCTCTGCAGCACCAAAGATAAATAAATAAATAAAATTTATTTATTTGGCTGTCTGCCTTCTGAGGGCATGTGAAATCCACCACTCGGCTGTCCAGCGGAGCCGTCAATCTCCGGGAACATCTTGTCGGATTAAAAAAATAAATAAAAAAATAGGACATCCCCCCCCCACCTGGCATTAATAGGATTGTCACACACCGTATGTGTGTATGTGTGTGTGCGACGTGTGTGCATGCGCACATGCATGTGGTCCACGCCCCTCAGTCCCCGACTCCCACACTCTCCCACGCACCCCTGTTCTGTTTGGTATAATCATTTCCCTGTCACCTTCCCTCCCACACACACGCATCTCTCTCTCTCTCTCTCTCTCTCTCTCTCTCTCTCTCTCTCTCTCTTTCTCTCTACTATCTCCACTAGTCTCTTCCTTCCTCTCCTTCCTCCCACCGTCGTTTCCACTCTTCCTCCTTCTCCCTCCGTCTCCCTCGAGCTCGGGACCGACTGATTGCTGGACTACACGACATTCACGGGAATCGATAACTGGGAAACGGGCTGGCCAGTATGGTGGCCCAGTGTACGTGAAGTTCGCGTGTTCTCCCAGTGTACGTGAAGTTCGCGTGTTCTCCCCGTGACACGTGGATTTCCTCCTGCAGTCCAAAGACAGACAATTAGGCTAATTGGCGTCTCTAAATTTCCTGTCGTGTCTCAATGTGTGCACGCGCGTGCCCTGTAATGGGCTAGCATCCTATCCACTGTGTCCCCCTGCCTCGTGCCATATGCTGCTTGGCAGAGGCTCCAGGTTCCCCCCACGACCCTGTCCCGAGCAGATGGGTGGATGGATGGAAAATAATTCAGGCTTAGTAGGGTGTAGGTCTTCATGGGGGTTCTTCATGTCAGCGCCTGTAGCTGTGTGACTGGATTTGTGTGGGAGTAGTTAATTAATCATTAAATTGATTGAAATTGTAGGATTTCGTGGCCCTCACTCAGGAGTGGACCTGCGCACAGCAGACTGTCACACAGTTGATATTTCGGGCCTCCCTCTGCACTGCCCTCAAGGGTGGGGGGAGGGGGGCACATAACTCAGGGTTTTTTTGCAGCTCAGTGTAGTTTGGTATGAAATGGCAGTTTTCCTTTGTCAGCCCCCCCCCCCCACCAGTACCTCCCCACCTACCCCACCTCCTTCACTGTAGCGGTTTATTTCTGAGCACTACAGTGCCTGCTGGGAACTGGTTAGGAGATACAAGGTCTTCCTCCTCTTCATCCCATTCTGAACACACACCCTCATTCTCATTCAGTTATACGCTCAAACAAACCCTCTGCCTCATTCAGTTATACGCTCAAACAAACCCTCTGCCCTGCATTCATATACACACGCCCAAGCCATTCACACTCTCTCTCACACATTCCATACTTTCTATTCATTCTTGTATACACACACCCTTGTTTACACAGTGACGGACTGCTGCTCTTAATTTATATACATACCTTTCTAATTTGCATGTCCTCTAATATGAAATTCCTACCAGTGCTAACTTGCATATAAAGACTCTGTGCGTGTGTGCGTGCGTGCGTGTGTGTGGATTAGGTTTATATTGCTTTGTGGGAACCATATGTCCCCCACAATGTGATTAAAAGCCTGTTATTCGACTTTCTGGGGACGATTTTTCAGGTCCCCACAAAGATTTGTGAATGCAGTGAAAAGAAGTAAAAATGCCAGAAGTCTCATATTTAGTTTGGTGACTTATGGTTAAGGTCGGGGCTGGGTAGGGGTTAAGGTCGTCATGTTGGGAGTACAGTCTTCCCCATAGAAATGAATGGAGAGTCCCCACAAAGATATAATTACAAAAATGTGTGTGCGTGTATGTATGTGCGTTACTCCTTCTCCCCCCTCCTTAAGTCTCACCTTCCTCTCCCATATACTTATAACATGATGGCCTCTGACCAGCTTCTGACGGTCTGAGATGGGTTTCGGTCTGTCCCACCTCCCGGGTTCCCTTGAGAGAGCGCCATCTTCACGAACCGTGACGACGGACACGAGATGGAGGCCGTAGTTATCCTGGGAGAGTCTCAGTGCCCTCTTAGATTCCAATGGCAGCCATCCAGCAAATTTTTTTATTTTCTTTACTTTTTGCAAATGAGGGCCAGTCAGAGTGCTGGTGCTGTAGCTGGTGGCCATTTTGTTTTTGACTCTTTCCTCTGTCATGCTTTCGCTCTTCTGGTGCAAACAGGAAGTAGTGGGATAGGACGAGAGCAGCACGGGGGCACGTGCTTCACACCAGCTGCTGCCCGATCTGCTGCACGTTCAGTATGGTGATTTTGCACCAAAATAATAAACAAAAATGTGTTTCATTCTGCAAGACTCTTTCTGATAAAACTAACCCAAAGCTTTTCTTTTTTTGCCAATCTACCGCTACCTCCCTCCCCCAACCCAACTGTCAAGTGGTTAGATATTTTGGCTTGATAAAGTGTCTGCTGTCTGGGGGGTCCATTTGGTGGGTCACTGGCCGCCTGGCGTGTTGTCAGTCTGTGCCACACTCATCCCAGCATGGAGAACAGAGCCTTCATTTTC